AATACAAAAATGTGCCAATAATTCAATGCCATCTATGTGAAATACCTTTCTTTAATGGGCTTGTACTATGCTGTTGTGGCATCGTCAGCTTTTATGTTATCTCATGCACAAATAAAATAAAGATTTAAAAAAAAAAAAAATTAACAGAAAAATAAAAAAAGACATAGTATGCTTAGCACAAGTCCAAACTGGCATCTAGACAACACCCTAGTAATCCGAAAATATAACAGACTACAATGAAAAGGTATCTAAACGTGTGATCAGATAAGGACAGGAAAAATAAGCAGACTGTCCTACGAAAGTGTCTCAAAGTACGTAACAATGACACATTGTAACCATGTGCTAGTACAATGCTATGACCCTGAGACATGCACACACACAGGGACCAACGTCAAAATTCTAAGGGCTGCTGCTGGACATATAACTATTACATAGTATTAATAGCTGATAAAAACAGTTAGTAAATACAATATTTAACACTTCAATAAAGATGAACCCTTTAAGGGCACAGCTTCAGTGTGTTTGTTTTGTACTTAAAGGGACACTATAGTCACCCAGACCACTTCAGACCACTTCAACTCAATGCCAGGTCCCCCAGGTTTTAACCCTTCAGATGTAAACATAGCAGTTTCTGTGAAACTGCTATGTTTACATTGCAGGGTTAATCCAGCATCTAGTGGCTGTCTTCCTGACAGCTGCTAGAGGTGCTTCTGCGATGCTGGATGTGAAAATCGCATTCAGCGCGCAGAACTTCCATAGGAAAACATTGTGAAATGCTTTCCTATTGACTGTTTGAATGCGCGTGCGGCTCTTGCCACACATGCGCATTCCGCTCCACTCGGCGGGGGAGGAGAGGTCACCCGCGCCAAGGGAGCCTGGCGCTGGATTAAACTAAGTAACTGAAGGGGTTTTAGTTCCTTCAGCGCCAAGGGAGGGGGCCCTGAGGATGGAGGTGGGGGGACCTAAGGGTTATATAGTGAGAGGAAAACAACTTTGTTTTCCTGACACTATAGTGAGGGCACTAGCAGTTTTGGCATTCATCTTTAACTCTCTACTTTGCCCTGCTGTGGCCACCCCCATACTATCCCCCCATACTAACCTCACAACTGATTTTACTGACAAGATTAATCAACATAAGCAATATGCATCACTTGACAATTTTTTTAAACCAGCAAGCAAACACTTTTACATGAAAATATATAAACTAAAAGAAAACAATAAAGAAACATTTAAAAAGTATGTGGTAAATGTTTATAAACTTACTATAAGTGTTGATAGTTTGCTTCTCTGTCACACCTATAAACTAGGGGAGTTTTTTCAGCCTCCCCTACCTCATACTCTCCCAATCCACTTTCATTTATCTGCCAATTTCCCATCCTACTCCCTTTTCAATGAACACTCTAGTATTAGTCCACATGAAACTAGGTGCACGCTCATGACTTTTGTAAACAGAACAGCAAAGGCGTTGAGAATTTTGGGGAAAATAGCGCTAAACTGAATGTCTGCATCTGTGCACACAGAAAAGAAAGAGCACATGTAATGTGACAATAGTCACCATCACTGGTAGAAGAAGGATACTTTACAATGCTTCCTAAATTGTTTTCATGTTTTAGTCACCCTGTGCCCATTACAGATGTAGGGTGTGTATAATATAATAGGTTGTGGTTAAATGTTTTATCTGCTCCCCTGTACTACTGATGCACAATACCAACAAGGTGGATTTGGCCGTGGAGCCTTTACAGCACCCTTTGTTGGTAGCAACAGCTATATGCACTACCTGAATAGCAAAGCTTGTTAATTTACATATTCAGGTAGATTTGCATGTTGCTAATTCTGCAGACAGAAGAGATATTTTGTGTTAGTTATTGTGTTCCCAACCCCTTTATAAATATGTCATTGTGTTATTATATGTTCATGTATGTTATTAAAAGGTATTTGATTGTTTTTATTTTTATTGAGTTGTCACCATAAGTTTTATGTAATGAGTTTATGGGCTATTTCCAAGAAAAAAAAAAAATAGAGATGAGTATGATAGTTCCTTTTGGAACTGTGTGTCCTGTCTGGATTTTTAGGGCTCCCAGTAACAGAGTTGTCAAATGTGTTGGTTGGCTGCATGATTGCTCTAACCCTGTGGTAAATCAAAAGGAGCTAGCCCCGAGAGCCACACATTTCTTTATAAAGACATGAGCTATCACATTGCAGGCAGAGGTGCATACCTGCCTGTAAGAAAAACTGCAGAGGGGGCAATGTCTGCATGGAAAGAGCTCCAAAGTGACCCCAGTCAAGCTTTGGCGACTGGGGTTGTACCGCTCCAGGGTCATGGCAAGCGACTTGGTTGCAAACTGGGCGAACCTCCAAGATCCTCAAGAGAGTTATGTACGCTAGACTAACAGACTTCCTTGAATCCAACTCTCTGCTCGATCCACTTCAGTCCAGGTTCCACACTCGTCACTCTATTGAAACTGCCCTGACCAGAGTATCCAATGATTTAATTGCTGTTAAATTCAGTGGTCGTTACTCTCTCCTAATTATCCTTGACCTTTCTGGTCACTTGAAATCAAAAACTTCTCATCCTCCCTAACCTTGGGCTACAAGACTCTGCTCTTTCCTGGTTTCCTTCTAACTCTGCCAGTGCTCTTTCTATTTTAAATCTTTAGTCGTGCTTTTTTTTAATACTGCTTAGCAACATGCACTTTGAATTTGCCTATCATTATTACAATGTAGGCATACTTAGATAATTACCACTAATAATATTAGTAATATAAAGTTACAGTGCATAGTAAATCAATTTATATCATCCACTCATACTAGAGGGAGGATAAATATTTTTTACCCAGCGCTCTTTCAGTGTTTCCTTTACTGGCTCTTCCACTCCTCCACAACCCCTCTCGGTATTCCTCAAGTTTCTGTCCTTGGTCCCCCTATTGTTATCTATACCGCCTCCCTGGGTAAACTCATCAGCTCTTTTGGCTTCCAATATCATTTCATTTTTGGATGACACGCAAATCTATGTCTACTCCAGATCTATCAGATCTTGACTGGTGTCTCTGACTGCCTCTCTGCTGTTTAAAACTGTATGGCTGCTCATTTTCTGTACAGAACACATTGCTGTAGACATAGTAGGTACCCTTTTACCAGCAACCTTATTATGCATATATCACCTTGCCTGAAACATAGAATACTGCACACCCTTTCTGCCAGCAGCGGTAGTATATAGACATATTGTGGGTCAAAAGCACACAGTGCTGTACACACACAGAGATTGGATTCATTTGGTGAATCAGTGATTAATCATAATAATGACAAGTGAAGTTTTGTGTTCAGCTTTTAGGTCATATTTTACTAGAAAAATAATTTTTTTTACAAAAGAATTTCTCACATGAGATGGATTTTAATTAATCACCTCTTACACCAATAAATAAAATAGTCACTTTATATCGATCACCCTCACTCAAGCACACACACAACAAATTAACAAAAATATGTGCTGAGAACATCAACACCAAACATATCCAAAAGTCTAATTCGGAACGACCATTTCACATGGTTATTTTACACATGTGGATTTATTATATTAGCCCGTTCTCATTCTTTAGCACCTGGACTTTATTATACAGTCTGCCTTCAAAGTGCACTGTCAAGCCATGTAACATGCATCTAGACATGGTACTAGCCTAACTGACAGCATGTGTATGGTTGGAAAGGTAATGAATATTGAATATTGTGTTTTAGGAATCCTTGAGCTTTAAGCCAGAGAATTTCATGGGCAGCAGAGTGTACAACTGTTCCACCACACACATTGTCATTTTCATACAGCATTTTGGAAGAGAGTTATTTCAAGCATCATAACCCCAGGCCACTGTAGTGTTTATTATTCTAGGAGTACCATGGCACCGTTCCCCGATAATGGGGTAAAACGTTTTGCAATGGTTTGCCCTCTTACCTAGTCTCCACAGGATGCCAAGCCTCCTGTAATGACCAGTGACATGCGTCCGGTTTCGGCAGAGCTCCAGAAGCCAGTTGCCGATCCTGACAGTCATGCATTGTCTGAGAGTGCCATTTGGGTGCTCTCAGCCAATGACTGTCATCCTCTGCATAGAAATATGCATATAATAAACTAGAATTAGACTTAACGGGAGTGAATTTGTCATTGATGTTATGCAGACTACAGGATTCCTTCAGCTGTTTTGTATGAGAGATGCAAATGTATCGTAAGCAGTCTGCATTCAGGTATATTAAACAAATGGTAATATTTATCTGTAGTCCTGCTATGTTACACATCTGGATATGTCCAGAGTCTTGACTCCTCTTTTTTATTGTTGTCTGCCTACTCTGTTTCCCATTGGTCTATCCCATGTTTTATTTCACTTTTCCTTCCACAAACTTCTCCCTTTTTCCTGCTTTTCCCACTTTTCCAGAACTCTATCTCCCTATTCTACATTTATGCTTTCTTCTTTGCCCTCCCCACCTCTTAAATCTACTCCCCTCCAATCCATTGTAAGAGTAGTCCAAGGGGCATATGTTGCTATGTGATGTGTGCCTTTGTGACTGAGTCATCTCTCAGCCTCTTTCCATCTAACCAGAGAAAGTCCCCCTTCAATGCATTAGATTAAATAAATATGTCTTGTTTTAATAAGTTAATTGTACAATGTGAAGAGTCAACCACAAAGATTATATCATCTGGAGACTGACGCAAACATCATTCAAGGACAAGCCGTGAGGGGTTTCTATGGAGGCTGGTTTGGCAAATATACTGCATTGGACAGAGAAGACAGTTTATTAATAGCATCTAAATACAGAATATATTTAGTTTAGCAGGCATGTAACACTAGGCACCTATGAATTTTGCATGGAGGGTATAACAGCATTGATGACCCAGACTTAATATGAGTTGAAAGCATTCTATTTCCTAAGCTCTTTATACTGTAAACACATGACAGATTCTAGTCGGTATGGATATGACATTTTGTTTCTTTCAATTTGGTGTTTGTCGACAGAGTTTATCCATAGCTGTGGGGGCTGTTCAGATGTATTGGTGACTGTTCTTTTCCCTGTTGGCCAACCAGCTGCCATAATCTGTAATTTAGGTTGTGCACCTGGCAAGTTCCCAGAGCACAGCCAACACGCATGAGCCGTACAGGGCGTAGCTGGGGAGCGCGTCTTTTTTCCCTCTGCAGGGTCAGATGATCTACTTGCACTTCATTTGGGGATTGGTTTGAAGGCGTATTTGTCAGTTGTCTTTCCTGACGATGCTTCTCTTTTTCAGGTGGCTCTCTTTAAGAAACAAGAAGAACACTATGTTAAAGTCATTTTGATGTTTATTTTGGCTCATGCTATTTATTAAAAAAGTTACATTTAAATTTTTCCAAATCCCTTTTCCCATGTTTTGGCAAAACAACATCTGGAAGATAACAATTTCAGATGTCGAACATGAACATGACACTGTTGGAGGTGAAGCTTACAGTTAATTCAGTATGTGCAGCGTTTCATAGTGAAATGCTTCTCATACAGATTGCAGGCACCATCACAACTTCAAATAATTGAAGTGGTCATGGTACTTGGGGTAACCCTTTAAGGCGCTGAACGGTCATTTATATTTTTACCATATGATTTAATGCACATGGTTTAGCCAACATTCACAGATCTACTGGGATTTAAAACAGTACTGTCCCCCACACCCCCCAAACTATAAGCTTTGTAAAATACGCTGCCAGATGTTAAACATACAATTTATAACCCAGCTACATTTACCACATTCTCCTCTGGACCTTTTTTTATTCAATGATAATTTTCACTTTGTAACATGATGTTTTTGCTTCATTTGCTTGTATTCCATAGTACATGATACCTGTTTATTTTTTGTATGGGTGTATTGGATAACTGTAAAACTTATTTCGTTACATATCGTTATACCTCAATGAAAGTATATGAAGGCAAAAATAAAAAAAAATTGTCATAATTACAAGTTGTGGAAAATCATTACGGTGTCAGTTTGAATGTATAACATTATTATGGTGCCATTTTAAATAGAATAGTTAGAGGGGTCTATTTACCAGTCCAGTTCTACATTGTCACACCCTTGGGTTAGGAGCTACACAGCTTTAGGGATCAGTATACTATAACAACACAGTGTCCATTTTAGGGTTATATATTAATCCAAATCCATTTGAAAGATTCATCTTCACTCATGAATTCTTTCACTCTACCATCTCCACCAGGTGAAAATTGTCTGAGAGTTACAGTATAAAGCATCTTCGCTCTCCCACCCATATAAATGTAAGGATTATATCTGCACTCAAAATGATGTGCACTATAACATCTATCATTCTCAGCATGGCTGAGGATAATAGTAATTAAATCCCACAGCATATCCGGTGCACATGTTAGATTTGGGAGTTGAACACCATAATGACCTGGATTTAATGACACTACACTCTAATGAATGCAGTGCTGTTACAACATTGCTAAGACATTTCTAACTTGACATTTTAACAATGCTATACTAATAGCAAAACCCCACTTGCTTGGTCCTGATTCCTAAAAGCCACTTGCTCCCCCTATTTTCCTGCACCACTAAAGATAAAAAATGAATGGTTGCTCATCTGGTCATCTTATGAGCTGATAAGCGAAACGCGCGTCACGGCAACTGGGCAAACCTATATTACCACGGACATATCACCACGTTGTATCTCTAGCGACTAAAATATAGAAGTATCTCGTCAATACTTCTTTCAGTGTAAAACGTCAGCTGCCCGGAATGTTAATTGATCTTATATTAACGGACTAGCGGTTATCCTAATAATCCATAAATTATTTAACCTCTGTAGTACCACCACACTACTGATATTGCAACAGTGAGAACCAGCATAGAATAAAACGGTTATCACAAAGAACTATCCAAATCCCCTTAAGGCAAAGCGTATTGTGGCTATACAACATAGTAACAGATTCTAGATATCACACTTTACATGCTAAATGTTTGCAACCAAACCTAATCGACACAACTTCAGAGATATAATATTACATTTTGCAACTGTTACCAATGTGTTAACACTTCACTTACTTCTGGTGATGGGTATAGTTGGTAATTGCCCTATAGAGCAATATATAGAGTAAATATTACTCTTGTGGCTATCACAATACACTTATTTTGCTCTATTTTATTGAGCCTTTACAAAGACTCAGAGTCCAGTTTAAGATATCCAACAGTATTTGTCTAACTAAGACTCTGTTGGATAATTCTGGTCTTATCCAGTGACATAATAAATTCAGTCCGATATTATGACTGATTATTTATTTAATTTTTGTTTTATTAGTTTGCAGTGAGGTTCAGTCCTTGGTTTGGGACTTTTTAATGGAAAAACTATTAAAAGTGATGTTTTAATGAATTATAAACTACTTTCCTAGGATATTCCACTTGATGTTTTAATGAATTATAAACCACTTTCCTAGGATATTCCACTTTATTTATATATCTCATTACTGCTACCTCCAGCTTTTTCTCTTTTTTCAGTATACTTTAACTCTAGGGGTTACCCCCCATTAGGAGGTACCGGTTAACAATTTGGCTCAATTTTCTCTTTTCTTTCTTTTTCTTTGTCTATCTAAATATTTGAACTCTTGTCCAATTACTTTGAAATGGACACTATAGGCACCAAAAAAAGGACATGTGATGAAGATAAAGAACAGTTCATTGAAGTGGTCTGAGTGCAGTGTCCCTGTCCCCCTTAGTCCTTTAATGTAAATACCCAAACTTACCACTTACCAGTACAACCTCACACCTGACACGTAGAAGGAAGACGATAGGCTTTACGTAACACCGAAAAACCTTAGAAATGTAAATGTAACTGCTGAAGCAGACCTGCGTGTCCAAGCATATCGCTTTCAATATGTGCATATCTGATGACTAAAAAACTTATTCGAAAAAAAGAAATCATTTTTTTTTTACCAAATTTGACAGTACCACTGTCACCATCTTAACTCTTATCAAGTTAAAGGTGTATCAGAAAAAAAGAACATGTCATGAAGATAAACTGTAACATGAAGTTCTATTTTTTGTCTCTTATTGAATATTTCTTATGTTTTAACAGTTTTCCATGTCCCGACGTTGTGTGCTGTGAGCGTGTGCTGAGACATATTGAGTTTAAGCCAAGACAGATTAACAGACAGTCAAGACAAACTGGATGAATCCAATCTTGTATGTGAGAACAAAGACAGACAGTGTGTGCTGGCAAACAGTGTCTCACGTATAAGTGGTGCTTTATTCTAGAGCAGAGTACCTTCTTATACTTTCTGTTACCGTATGGTGTCAGCAGTGATGCAGGTACCCAGCACTGGCAAGTACTCTCAGAAAGTGACCATTTGAGGTTTTCTCAATTAAGATTAAATAAATAAATAGAACGTGTCTGAATTTTATTTCGTCTAAATTCAGACTACCATTTAACTACCCCCTATACTTAAAATCCTGTGCGCTATTTTGATTGGTAAATATAAACATAAAAGCACTGTGCTGTCTGTTTCAGAACTGCTCATGCATTCTTTTCCAGCTGAATGACTCATTGGTAATGAGGTTAATCACGTATTCAGCCAAAGCAGAATAAGCAAATCTTGTATGGATCTAGGCAACACAGCAAACAAAAGCTTCAAGCTATGGCTGGGGGATGACTAAACAGATAGCTCATCCCACTTTACTAAATATACATGTAGCACTCTCAGGGTTTAGCCTGCGGCTCCACTGGCAACTTGCAGCTGCTATAATTCTACACTGTCCCCTGCTATATTTCTACTGTATCCATTGTTAGACCAACTCCTTTCGCTTAGTTCTACTATGTGTTAGACTAGATGCTAGCTGAAAGAGCCCAGCAGCCAAGTGCCAGTTATAACCAGGGATTAGGATGAAGCAAGCCCATTAGGTATATATGGTTTCAATACTCTTTTAATCTGGATGCTATAACTAGAGTTGAGCGAACCCGAACTGTAAAGTTTGGGTTCGTACCGAACATTAAATTTTTTGGACCCCGAACATGGACATTTCACTGTATGTTTGGGTTGGAGTTCGGTGTTCGGCAATTTAATGGTGCGTTTTGAAAGGCTGCAGGGCAGCCAATCAACAAGCGTTTGACTTGTGTGCCCTTAGAAGCCATCACAGCCATGCCATTGGCCAGTGCAGCATGTGAGCTATCTACCAAAAGGCTGAAAGACCTAAATTGGTCTTTCAGCTACATTTACTAATACTAAGTAAAGATTACTTAGTATTAGTAAATTCAGCCCCTACTCGCTATACCGCGAGTAGGGGCATGTCTAGTAAACAGTGAGCAGCCAGTGGTAAAAAAAAACAAAAAAAAAACATTGGTCCCCACCCCTGAATGGTGGGTGGGGGCCCTAAATAAGATTGAGGGGGGGGGGAACCTATTGTCCTCCCCCCGGCCCCCACCCCTGAGCGGTGGGTGGGGGCCCTAAATAAGATTGAGGGGGGGACCTACTGTCCTCACCCCTGGCCCCCACCCCTCAGCTGCGGGTGGGGGCCCTAAATAAGAATGAGGGGGGAACCTACTGTCCTCCTTTCCCCTGGCCCCCACCCCTGCGCGGCGGGTGGGGGCCCTAAATAACAATGAGGGGGGACCTACTGTCCTCTCTCCGGCCCCCACCCCTGCGCGGCGGGTGAGGGCCCTAAATAACAATGAGGGGGGACCTACTGTCCTCCCCCCCCGGCCCCCACCCCTGCACGGCGGGTGGGGGCCCTAAATAAGAATAAGGGGGGGACCTACTTTCCCACGCTGTGCAAAATGACACAAAGCACTCTGATTGGTTGGATTTCAAGCTAACCAATCAGAGTGCTCTGTGTCATTTTACACAACGTGGGAAAATTCCAAAGAACTTTCCCACGCTGTGCAAAATGACACAAAGCACTCTGATTGGCTGGATTTCAAGCTAACCAATCAGAGTGCTCTGTGTCATTTTACACAACGTGGGAAAATTCCAAAGAACTTTCCCACGCTATGCAAACAAACACAGAGCACTCTGATTGGCTGGATTTCAAGCTAACCAATCAGAGTGCTCTGTGTCATTTCACACAGCATGGGAAAATTCAAAAGAACTTTCCCACGCTGTGTAAAATGACACAGAGCACTCTGATTGGATGGATTTCAAGCCATCCAATCAGAGTGTTATGAGTCATTTTGCACACCGTGGAAAAGTTCTTTGGAATTTTCCCACGCTGTGTAAAATGACACAGAGCACTTTGGTTGGTTAGCTTGAAATCCAGCGAATCAGAGTGCTCTCTGTCATTTTACACTGTGTGGGAAAGTTCTTTGGAATTTTCCCACGCTGTATAATTTGACTCATAACTCTCTGATTGGTTACTTTCAATCCACCAATCAAAGTGTTTTTATGAGTCAAATTACACAGCGTGGGAAAATTCCAAAGAATTTTCCCACGCTGTGTAAAATGACACAGAGCACTCTGATTGGTGGATTTCAAGCTAACCAATCAGAGTGCTATGACAGGTAAATGTAGAGACTTACCTGTCAGTCTCATTTACCTTTGAGAGCACTCTGATTGGATGGCTTAACCCCACCAATCAGAGTACTCTAAGCCTAATTGCAGGGCGGGGCATGGCTTTATAAGCCTTCCCCCGCCCTGCAGATCTCAGTCTGCGCGGAGTCCTCCAGGTGAAGATGGATTTTTTTTTTTTGCGCTCGTTTTTTTATTTTATTTTTTTAACCCCTTAAGGACACATGACATGTGTGACATGTAATGAGTCCCTTTTATTACAGAAGTTTGGTCCTTAAGTAGTTAAAGTGCATCTGTTATTATGGATTTTAATTTGGCCTTTTTGGGGGCTGAAAAAATAAGATTTTAGAAGAAAGAAGGCATCAAATGGTAAGTTTATTTTTTTTATTTTTTTACAGGTATCTAGCTTATGGTCCCCCCTCATTATTTTTAGGATGAGGGGGGTAGGTAGGGGTTATTTTTGGGGGGGAGATGGGGAGGGGTTACATTTTTATTTAGGGCCCCCACCCACCGTGCAAGGGTGGGGACCGGAGGGGAGGACAGTAGGTCCCCCCCAAAATCTTATTTAGGGCCTCCACCCACCGCGCAGGGGTGGGGGCCAGGGGGGGAGGACCAGTAGGTCCCCCCCTCATTGTTATTTAGGGCCCCCACCCGTGCTCAGGGGTGGGGGCTGGGGGGTAGGACAATAGGTCCCCTCCCCCTTATTTTACATTAGGGCCCCCATCCGCCGTTCAGGTGTGGGGGCCAATAGGTTTTTATTTTTTTTTATTTATAAAGACCAATTTAGGTCTTTCAGCCTTTTGGTAGATAACTCCCTAATACCGTGGGAATTAGGGAGTTATCTACTAAGCGGCTGCTTATTTTATGTTATTTTAAGTGATTTCCCTATCCACATTTGTTTGCAGGGCACTTGTCCTACTCTTACCCCCATTTTACTTCCTTTTGCAGCCCTTTCCAGGACTTTTTTAGAGGCATTTTAGTGCCCAAAAGTTTGGGTCCCCATTGACTTCAATGGGGTTCGGGATCGGGGTCAAGTTCAGGTCAAGTTCGAACCATAACTCGAACGTTTTGATGAAGTTCGGCCAAACTCGGTGAACCCGAACATCCAGGTGTCCGCTCAACTCTAGCTATACCCATAGGCGTGCGCAGCCTATTGCATTAGGGTGTGCACCCTAAAGCGCAAACACACACGCCGCATGTGTATATGTATATTATATATACACACATACACATGTGCAATCAGAGAGGGCTGGTAACCTAAATAGTTAGTTTAACCCTATAGTGTCAGGAATACCTGTTTGTGTTCCTGACTCTATAGTGTTCCTTTATAGTGTTCCTTTAAAGATATGCTAATAATCTATTCATTGCAATATTTAGGAGGAATTAAATCCTTTCCTTAATATCTCAGTCAGCAATCAAAATCTTTGTAGCAATAATCCCCTCATCTAATGTTGGATGCTGCCAGTTCACAATTATGTCCCTTCCCCCCAAATAAATACATTCATAAAATACATTAGGCTACTATTTCGTACCAAGGCATTATTTTTATTAATTTACACTTTAAAAAAACAACAACTTTTTGACAATGATATTGAGCTTTCTATGTATTTCTAACATTATTTCAATGTAATGACCGGATGATTGATAGGCTTTTGAAAGTCTTTCATTTATTTCTCATTACAATAAACATTTGAAACTGTAAATGCCATAATAAGCCATGCTGCAGGATAATAGAATCTATTATAGAATAATATAACCTATAATAGAATAATAATAGAGCCTTACTGTGAGCCAGGCTGTATACAAACGGACTGAGCCAGCGTATTAGTTGATTGAGAAGTCCCAATAATCCTACGTGATGAGTGGAACTGTGGCTGGGGAAAACCTATATTTCTCTTGGTATACAGGGATTTATGGGATTAGAACAAAGCCTAAATTGAGCCTCTTTTATGTCAGAGAGCAGTCAGTTTGTGCAGAGGGAATTCCTGCCCATTGTTTCCATTGAATGACGCACAGCAACACCTAGACATGTATATAGTATGTACCGAGAGTCAATAATTTGGAATTCAGATACAAAATAACACTTGATTTGAGTTCAGTGTTAATGAATTCCACTAAGGAAACCATAATAACCTCATATAGACCTAACCCTGCCATTGCATGTTCATTGATACTAAAAGACCTAGGTAAATGTGCATGTGTTGAAGGCAAAGTAAGTTTGGGAATGGGCCCAGTATCTTCTAACTTGTAGACCTGCATGAATGATGTATGGAGATACCGAAAATAAGCATACCTGGTAAAGACGGGAGACACATATTTGCTGTCAATTAATCTCTGTCCCATTCAGAGTAGATAAAAAAACATTTCCTGAATGAATTATAAGCATGACACAACGATATACAATAAAGTTCATTTTCAAGAATTCTCTCAAGAGCTTCTTACCCTTACTATGGATAAAAAGTCCTAGAGGGACCAAGCTAACCTCGTAGCTCATATTTTTCCTGCTTAATTTGTAAATATTAGTGAGTGAGTAAGATTTCTGTAAATGCCAAAATAAGCCACGCTGCAGGATTCGGGAAGGGAGGGGAAATAAACTGTACCTGCCGTTCTTGGAGAAGATGCCGCTGTGCTGTGACCTGGCCAGGTCTCACCTTGCCCTAGCATTGTCATGCCTCCGCGTGTCGTCACGGACCGCGTCGCGTACGCTATAGGGGAGGTCTGGAGGAGGTTCATCCTACACTATGCAGCGATACCGCTCGCACAGTGAAGGATCGGATGGGATGGAAAAATTGTGTTAAAGACCGTAAACGGCAGTGCAGCACGGAGGTGCCGGAGCCTCAATTTTGAGGCTTGATTAGGGTGTGCCCAGCCGTGCGCATGCCTATGGCTATAACCAAAGCAGATCCTGTCCTGAGAAGACAGTGATAATCCAGATCCAAGTTTTATATCAGATATATTGATCCTAAGCTACTAGTGAAGTTAAACAGATAAATGATGACATGTTGCTTCAGCCTGACAAAGACCTCCAGTTAGGTCGAAACGTTGCAGTGCATTTTGTCACAATAAACCTGCCTGAGGCTTTACACTTGGAGTGCCTGTGTGGGTTTTTTTTTGTTTGCCTAATTGTGCTGGGATTGCTGGTCCTGTTCCGGAGCACCTGTGGCTGCTGGGAATGAGTGCGGTTCCTGCCATCTACTCTGATATGTTGCTTAAGGCGAACATAAATAATAACACTTGGAGCTGACAAACTGAGGAAGTGGGGTAAAACTGCGCAAGAGGTAAAGATCAAAATGTTCAGAAGGAAATAGAGAGATATAGGGCCAGCTATAAAACATGTAGACATTTTAAGAGGTGTGTGAGATTGTTGTAGAGTGGAAAGAAAGTTGAGTATATGGTAAAAAAGTGTGGATGTAAAATTGTGTGAGATGAGATAGGTTGGTGTTGAGTAGACAGGGGCAGACTGGTGCTTTTAGGGATTTTGTCAAGGATCAAAGAATAGAAGAAAATCCAACAGGAGGAGGTAGGGCATTCTATAGAATTGGTGATGCCTATGAGACATCCTGTAAGATGGAGTTGGAAATACGTGTACATACAGAAAATCCAAGGTCACTAGAAGCTTGTGGAGGGGGGAGGACTAGGATCCACTGGGCTCCAGGGGAAAGAATCAAAGAAGAGCCCACCTCTTCACCACTTCTCACTCCCCATACACATACTTATTGCAGGGCCGTCTTTAACGCGGGGCAAACGGGGCAGCTGCCCCGGGCCCAGTTTCTCTTGGGGGGCCCGAGGCACCTGCCCCGTGGGCCCCGCTGACCCCGGCGGGCGGGTGGCCGGTCGGGCAGGAAGGCGGGCGCGCGAGGGAGCACTCACTGCTTCCTCTTCAGCTCCCTCGCGCACCGCACTGATGCCGGAGCCGGAAGATGACGTCATCTTCCGGCGCCAGCATCCCTACGCGGCGCGCGAGGGAGCTGAAGAGGAAGCAGTGAGTGCTCCCTCGCGCGCCCGCCTTCCTGCCCGACCGGCCACCCGCCCAGGAGCCCAGCAGCAGCACCACTGGACCCCAGGGAATCCCCCCAGCACTCCAAAAGGTAACGAGGCTGGGGGGATTACATTAAAAAAAAAAAAATGTGTGTTTGTGTGTATGTGTGTGTGTTTGTGTGTTAGTGTATGTGTTTGTGTGTTTGTTTGTGTGTGTGTTAGTGTGTGTGTTTGTGTGTTAGTCTATGTGTTTGTGTGTGTATGTGTGTGTTTGTTTGTGTGTGTGTGTATGTGTGTGTTAGTGTTTGTGTGTTAGTGTATGTGTGTTAGTGTATGTATGTGTGTGTTTGTGTGTGTTTGTGTGTGTTTGTGTGTGTTAGTGTATGTGTGTTAGTGTATGTATGTGTGTGTTAGTGTGTGTTAGTGTATGTGTTTGTGTGTTAGTGTATGTGTGTGTTAGTGTATGTGTGTGTTAGTGTATGTATGTGTAGTGTGTGTGTTAGTGTGTGTTTATGTGTGTTAGTGTGTGTGTTTGTGTGTTAGTGTGTGTGTTTGTGTGTGTGTGTTAGTGTATGTGTGTGTTAGTGTATGTATGTGTGTGTTTATGTGTGTTAGTGTGTGTGTTTGTGTGTTAGTGTATGTGTGTTAGTGTATGTGTGTGTGTGTCAGCATGTCTGTGTGTGTGTCAGTATGTCTGTCTGTCTGTGTGTCAGTTTATATGTGTATGTATATCTGTGTGTGTCAGTATGTGTATGTGTCAGTATGTCTGTCAGTGCGTCAGTATGTCTGTTAGTGCATGTGTATGCATGTGTCAGTATATCTATCTGTGTGCCAGTATGTCTGTGTGTGTGTGTGTCAGTATATCAGTCTGTGTGTGTCAGTGTATGTGCCTGTGTGTGTGTGTCAGTATTTCTCAGTGTATGTGGGTGTCAGTATATCTGTCAGTGTGTGGGTGTCAGTATTTCTGTCAGTGTATGTGTGTCAGTATGTTGATCAGTGTATGTGTCTGTGTGTGTGTGTGTCAGTATGTGGGTATATGTGTCTGTGTGTCAGTATGTCTGTATATGTGCCTGTGTCAGTATGTCTGTCAGTACGTCTACCAGTGTATGTGTCTGTGTGTGTGTCAATATATGTACCTGTGTCAGTGTGTCTGTCAGTGTATGTACCTGTTTATCTGTATGTAGTCAGTGTATGTATCTGTGTATCTGCTTGTGCGTCAGAGTGTGTACCTGTGCATCTGAGCCGCAACTTTAAATACAAATACACCCCTTCATTCAAACTTCAACACTACATATAAAACACACTCCTGCATTGAAACGTCAACACTACATACAAGCACACTCCTACATTCAAAAACAAACACTACACATAAATACACACTTGCATTCAAACTCCAGTACCACATACAAACACATTCACACAAACATACTCCATACAAACACATGCTTACATTCAAACATACTAACATGGCTCAGTGCTAAATACAGCCCTGCAAGCATGGGAAATTGGTAGAGTCCCAGCTGTCAAAGCATTGTTGGAGTTGCACGACAGATGGGGTTCCACCTTTAGTCCAACCTTGCAATTGGGGGTCCCTATAAAATTCATTCTACTTTAGTACCGCCACTGCGTTGGGATGGATGCCGTGATTGCATACCAGGGAGTGAGGGGCGAGAGCGGCAGGGCACAGGGGGCCCAAGCAAACACTTGCCCAGGGTCCATTCGTTATTAAAGACGGCCCTGGGGGTCCCAATAAAATTCATTCTACTTTAGTACCGCCACTGTGTTGGGATGGATGCCGTGATTGCATACCAGGGAGTGAGGGGCGAGAGCGGCAGGGCACAGGGGGCCCAAGCAAACACTTGCCCAGGGTCCATTCGTTATTAAAGACGGCCCTGACTTATTGAGATGTGTGTGGTGGGGTTGTGTGAGTGTGATTGTGTGTGGGGTTTTGTGAATGTGATTGGGTGTGGGGTTGTGTGTGCACTTAATATTAACATATTTAAAAAAAAGTTTTCTACCATCCTCCTGCTTATCTTTCTGCAGGTAGGGTGTATAAGCCCTGATCATCCACCTCTCTCTTACAAGATACTGAGTGGCACTGCATTTTGCCATGTATGAGCAATAGATTCCCAATACTTTTCTATGGTGGCAGGGCCAGTTGCTGCAAGAGCAATGTGGCATGGGAAAAAGGTGAGTTTAAATAATTTCTTTCTCCACAGAGGAGGGGGGAGTGGGGGCATGAACTCTAAAAGATAGTCCAACATTATTGTTTTAGGAATATATGTTTTTTTTCCTAACAATCCTTTAATATACTGTTAGAAATTAGCAATCACTCTAGTCTGGAGAAATAGAGTGGGCAAGTGTTCTCCATTCCCCCAAAAACTTAAATTTACCGTCTTTGAAAGCATTCAACAGTTCAGATAAATATGATTTTTTTTTTAATATGTTTTAAATCTTGTTTCACTGCATCTTTTGGTTGCATAAATAGAATAATTAACAACAAATAAATAAAATATATATATATTTGTCAAAATCTGAATAAAATGAAAGGCTGCTTAGCTCGCCGTATATGTATATTCTAATAAACCAGATATGTCTAAACCTGCCTACTATGACCTGCATGAAAACTTACAGCAGAATGGCCCTAGCCTGTCCTTATAGTCTAATACCATCTGAATATCCTGAATTAGCTTTATCTGACTGTGGGACATACAAAGAATATTTGTGTAAGCTTGGCCCTAAAACAAGGGGAAAAAGGTATTGTGTAGCCAAATAGAGTGAAAATAAAGATGAAAACTAAATAGAGAACCTAATGAGGGAGTGGGGGAAAATCCAGTAAGGTTAAGAGATCAAAGTGTTATAGATGCTCAGAAGATGAATAGGACTGGAGGAGGGATCATTGAAAGCTAAGTGATGTGGAGGAGGGGAAGGACGTGACTGCCTGCAGTTTTACACGTACTCCTGTGCTGGACTAGTGATTCATATTCTGGGATGTGTTTGAAATCATGAAGTGTATGGGTAACTCATTTAACTCATATGTATTAAAACTAAGCATTTAAGAGGTATTAGACACAGTTTTTAAATGTACTGTATTCCCAAATTAAATGGCTATAAGATATAAGATATATATATATATATATATATATATATATATATATAGATAGTTAATACAATGCTAAACAAAAATCTGCACACCAGTCAAGCCATAAGACTTGCTTTTCCCACAGAAATCCCAAATCAGCAGTGATGTTACAACCGCAAAGGATTCTGGGTGGGCATATGCAAATTAGTTTAACAAAGAATCACATTTTATATATATATATATATATATATATACATAAACACTGATCAGCCACAACATTAAAACCACCTGCCTAAAATACTTTAGGTCCTCCTTGTGCTGCCAAAACAGCTCTGATGCATTGAGGCATGGACAGCACAAGACTTCTGAACATGTCCTGTGGTACTGTCAGGGCCCCGCTCCCCTGTTTACCTGCCTCGTGCTCCTGCTCCGCATCTCCCTCTTTCTCCATGGAGACTCTGTGCCGGAGCCATATATATACACACACACACACACACATTATTGGTATGTTTCTTTTTCTAATTCAAAATATTGGTCCTGTCAGAGTAAAAAAATTAATTATACAGTAAGCATCCTTACATGCAGTCACAGACAATCTTACTGACACAAGCTCACTGATACAAATAGGTTCACTACAGAAAAGCTCACTGACACACATGATCACTACAGACAAGCTCACTGGCACACATGATCACTACAGACATGCTCACTGACACACACATGCACACTAGAGAAAAGCTAACTGGCACACACAAGCTCGCTTACATATGAGCTCACATATACACACACACAAGCTCACTGACACATACTCACTACAGACAAACTTGCTGGCACACACATGTTCACTACAAACTCACTAACACACACACGCAAGTTCACTACAGACAAGCTCGCTGACACATGCATGCTCACTACAAACTCAGACACACACAAGTTCACTACAGAAAAGCTCACTAAAACATACATACGTGCTTACTACAGACAAGCTCACTGAAACATACACATGCTCACTAAAGACAAGCTCACTGACACACATATGCTCACTAAGGACAAGCTCACTGACACACACACATGCTGACTACAGACAAGCTCACTGACACACACACACTCTCACTACAGCCAAGCTCACTCTGACACACACACATGCTCACTACAGACTAGCTCACTGACACACACTTGCTCACTACAGACTAGCTCACTTACAGACAAGCTTGTTGACACACTTGCTCACTACAGACACACTCAATGACACACACTTAAGCTCACTAGAGACTAGCTGACACACACATGCTCACTACAAACTCACTGACACACGCAAGCTCTCTTACAGATAAGCTCAATGACACACGCAAGCTCACTCACTAGCAGTCACACACACACAAACACACACACACACACACACAATCACTGTAATGGGCTGAAGCCTACCTGTCACAGAAAGCTGTAGGAGACTGGGAGGTGACATCTCCATGTGCTGTTCTCTTCCTTCCTGTGAGGTGAGCAGCGGGAGGGTACCCCTTTGTACTGCGTTCCCCATTGTGCTTACGGCTTTTTCTGCATCATGTAGTTCATCTACTAAACAGAGTCCTAACAGGTATCTGACACCAGACATTAGCAGCAAATCGTTTATGTCCTGTATGTGGCGAGGTGGGGCCTCCATGAATCGGATTTGTTGTTCCATAGAGTAAGTTTTCTTTAATCTTCGGGCAGGATGAGCATGTCTTGGTCTGCCTGAGACTGGTGGAAGACACTTGCCCAGCCAGCTGCTGCTCTTTACTGTTGCTGTCTTTAATTTAGGCCATGTTCTCATAGTGATATGCTGGCAGTGGACTGAGTGGAGTTGCAAAGAGAGAGAATTGCATTGTCTCCATCGTCCCTGGCTGTGTGACACCCACTATGCAATATGAGAAAACATGATCTGCGTTTTGAAAACATATATATAACATGTAATCGATGACAGTGTTTTCTCCCCTGGTTTACATTTAGTATTCTGTTCAAAAAGATTTAAATTCACTGAACAAATGAGGATGAGGCAGACTATTCCTGTGCCCTACAAAGGAGAAAAGAATGCCTTTTATATGGTAAATCATATAGAATTATGAACCAGTAATTGTGGTAATTAACTATAACCCATGACCATACCCTCCAACATTGGCAAGGATGGCCAGAGGCAGGGCTGTTCTGAGTAATTTTGGGTGACTTTCTAATAGCAATGTATGGAACTAAAATGTACTTTAGAAGAAAAACAATGTATCTTATTTACACATACTGATTTTAAACACATTTATTGTAGTTTAAAGACACATTATTGTGAGTATTATTGCATAGGAGCTGTGTTATACAATCGGGCACACCAACAATATAAAGCTCAGAGGGATTTGGGCCTAAATAGGGACAGTCCCTCCTAAATTGAGACACTTGGGAACTATGAATGCCTGTGACCCTAAACACGTACATTATTATTATTCTGAAGCTCAGGGTGCGTGAAATATATATACATCTAGTCAGTGCATAGATGACACTAAAAGTTCAAAATTCAGCCAGCAAGTGAAAGTCAAATAGGAAAGGGGAAGAGTCTGCGCTAACTCAATTGAGCAGCAACCCTAAAAAGGGAATCCCTCACGAAACCCTTTTTAAAAACAAGAAGATGCAAGAAAGGGAGTTAAGGGCAAAGAGCTGAATATATAAGTATACAGAGGTTGAATATGGCACCAAAATTTTAGTGCACCAATCACAAACACGTTTAAACACAAAACTTTAAATACATTTCAAATTAACATTAAAACCATATAGGTACATTGGTATGAGCCTGATTAGGCTTAAGGAATTTACATTTTGTAAAAACGAAGCTTTGGAACGAATTTAATTGTAATTGGTCCCGATCATGTGATCGGGACGCGGCGCCCATGCGCAGATCGTCTAATCGGCAGATCACTTCCTGGTATAGGCGGAGCACTCAGTGGCCAGCTTGGAGGCACAATGCTTCATGGGAAATGAAGTCCTGCCGGTCACTGGGCACTCCTACTGTGAAATACATAGCGGAAATCTAATTTTACAATATAAAAAACATAATAAGGATTAAAACCATATTAAAAGATATAAGCTGCCACATAAATTTATACATGAAGGGCTCCCATTTAAAATAATTTATAAAGTTTAAAAGGGACATAGAGTCTTGAAGGTAAGATTTCATTTTTTAACGGCAGGTTGTAAAAGAGTGTCTATATATTGGGATAGGTGTGGCTTCCAATATGTTGGGATGACCACTAGATGTCTAAAAATCAGATTAGGTGAGCATTGTAGGAATATAAAAAATGCTTATTTAAATCACTCTTTGTCAAAACATTTTTTAAGTCACAACAAAGATCCTAAAATGTTAAAATATATGGGAATAAAAAAATGCTCCCTACCCTGGAGAGGAGGAGATATAAAAAACATCTTAGGTAAAACTGAGATGGAATGGGTCTATAAGTTACAGACCCTTACACCAAATGGACTTAATGCAGATTTTGACCTGCACAATTTTTTATGATAGGTCTATTTAATTATATCTAATTTTTATAACCAACTTTTTATTTTATTTAACTTTATTTAATTTTATGCAATCATAATTCATACACCACTTGTCATTTTACATTTTTATTTTCATTGCTGAGTGCTTTTTAATACCTTCACCAATATAATAACATTAATGTTTTTATTAATATTAACATTTTTAACATTATTTTATGGTATCTCTTGCATTTAATACCTTCATGTATAAATTTATGTGGCAGCTTATATCTTTTAATATGGTTTTAATCCTTATTATGTTTTTTTATATTGTAAAATTAGATTTCCGCTATGTATTTCACAGTAGGAGCGCCCAGTGACCGGCAGGACTTCATTTCCCATGAAGCATTGTGCCTCCAAGCCGGCCACTGAGCGCTCTGCCTATACCAGGAAGGGATCTGCCGATTAGACGATCTGCGCATGCGCGCCGCGTCCCGATCACGTGATAGGGACCAATTACAATTAAATTCGTTCCAAAGCTTTGTTTTTACAAAATGTAAATTCCTTAAGCCTAATGAGGCTCATACCAATGTACCTATATGGTTTTAATGTTAATTTGAAATGTATTTAAAGTTTTGTGTTTAAACGTGTTTGTGATTGGTGCACTAAAATTTTGGTGCCATATTCAACCTCTGTATACTTATATATTCAGCTCTTTGCCAGGTGTACTGTTCTTTTACCATTTTGAGAAAACCCTAAAGGTGAAACGCGTAAATGGTTTTAATAAGTGTATTTTAATCAATAAAAGTTATTTTTGGTTACCCTTTATAATAGGACCAACTCTATACTTATTTTTATTGTATTTTATACACTTTTTTTTACTCCTGGCATTTTTATATTATATCATTATTTTTATATTACTTCAAAACTATTTTATAGTTTTATTTTATTTTTTTATTCTTCCACTATTTATTGTTATTATATTTTCAAACTCGAAGTGTATCCCGTCCAAAGAAATCCTTAGGTGGGGATAATTCCACCAGCGCTGTGGCAATAGAGCAGTATCTGTCTGCTCTATTTTTGTAAGTATAACTTATTTTAAGATATTACTGTGTTGTTCATACTGACAGCACTATTTGCTGTTTTATATATATCCCGTGGATAGCTACTATCCAATACCGGAGAGGCGGAACTATCTCCCCAGCATTAAAGAACAACGCACATCTGAGTAGGTCCTAGCCTACATCAAAGGAATTCCAAGCCGGACGGACGGACCAACCATCAAAGTATATCCGATAGTGGGGATTAAACCACTAAGTGCCTCTTCTCCTAGAGCTGGTTAGAGCTCCAACAAATGTGAGTGAAATACCTTTCCTTTGAATATATACCACATCTGGATATACAATATTTCACCATTGGCAGCTTTTTCTTTTATCTTTTGTCTTCACATATATGGACTACCTACCATACGGACGGAGCAACACTTGAGGATTACTATTATATTACTGCACATCAGTGAGACTGTTTCAATTTATACTCCTATTTATTTGGATGAACTTTACTTGATTTTATTATTATTATTGCTTATTTTATTTATATACATTTTTACTCATTTTTTTATCCTTTTGTTTAAGCGCAGCCCTTAACTCCCTTTCTTGCATCAGCAAGTGAAAGTGCCTGAATTTCACTTGACTTCATTTATGTAAAGGTTTAGGAGCTTAAACAGCATGGAGTTCTGTCTGGAATGTATATAAATAATTTTCCCCTAACACTGTTGCCTACTCTTGTTTCATTTTGGAAAGAATCAAAGATATGCAAGAATATAACCAGATTTAATTTTGCTAATTTTAGTAATTATGGCCTTGATTTAATATTTTTAGATACGCTTTTAAAAATGATATTTTCAAAATATAAAAATTTCAAATATATTATAAATATATGAAAAATATCAAAAAATGCTGTGCGCGGTCTGTAATGTGTGTAGGATAATCTAATTCTGGAAGAATGTTCAACATTGTTGGGAATTCATGTTTCCAGTTTGGCTATTGTGGTCTAAAATTTTAAATTTACTTTTAATTCTAGACAATTCTCACATTAGTAAATAATATTATTTTTATTACTTTTTCAATGAAGGACAATATTTGTGAAAAGTGCCATTTTTATTTCAAATGCAAATATAGTAAATTGCGCATAAACCCCCACAAATGCCATCCACAAACATTTTCCTAGTGTCAAAAAGCTTGCAAAGATTACAAAAGCCCAGCACTATTTACTACAGCTCAGAGCTGTAGGAAAAGTCAAGGGCTGTTTGCCAGAGTACCCATTTCTTATACCACAAATCAAATGTTCATTCTCATTGTCCAACTTAAAGCTTACTGGGCAATTTTGTTTGCTAGAGAAACCACTGTTCCTAGCAAGTATGCCCAGCTAATGTACGATGCCATTAAATTAATTGTCAGCAAGAGATCTCTTTTATGCCCAACAAGTATGCTATTAGCCCAGTTTACCCAGAAAGTATGCCCTAGCAGCCACGTCTTACATGGCATAGTAACAATGCTACATTGGTGCCCCTCATTATGATGCCAACAGGAGAGATGTTTGGCTCAAAAAAAGAAATGATTAGTTGCAGGAATAAGTCCATAAGGACTTTAATACCACATTTAAATTGTGTGTAAAGTTCACAAAGCCTTCTATTGTGTAAATCCCAGTGCACTAAATAGGCGGATTTCAAAGTCTGAAAAAAGATATTGGAATTTTGTTACCTTTCTTCTTCCTGATTTTTTTAAAGCAGGGAGAATCCCTTTGGCCTAATAGCCCGCTATAAAATTACACCATACCGATTTGCACTTCACTATCTCTTATCTCATATAAATAGCACCTGGATGAGGGTGAGATACTGGGACAAAGAGACAGCAGAGTACAATGCAAAACAGGAAACCCTTAGATAGTAGTATTGACAATTATACACTACAGTTACTAAATCTGAACCAAATGACTCAGAATCCACTTTAGAAAAGAGAAAGGAAACATTCTGGCTCATGCTTGCATCCAGTTATTAAAATGTATTTATTGCTTAAATATTTCCCTGTAATATAATAAATCTGAATAAATAAGCTTACAGTAAATCCTGTTATAAAATGTCCTCACCATATACAGCTAGCTGGGAAAAAAGGCATCTTATCTTAACTGTATATGAAAGTATGAATGTGTGAGACTTGTGTTTTGCTACTTATTTTTGATATTTCTGCCACTTTCGACACTGTTGACCACCCACTTTTGCTTCTCAACTTTTGCAACCTCGGCCTTGGTAACAATGCTCTTTCCTAATTCTCTTCCTACCTCTCTCACCAATCCTTCATTGGACCTTTTCTCTACTGACACAGCCTCTCTTGGTGACCTGTCATCTCAGTGGTGAAACTACCGCGGTCGCAGGGGTGGCAGCTGTGATCGGACCCGTAATTCCAGGTGGCCCGGCCACCCTGTGGATCCCTGCAACCAGGGTGCTTGCCAACCATGAAATGTAGCCCCGGCCCATTGGGTGGCTCATGCTGTTAGGGCCACCCTATGGCAATGTATTTCCAGGGGGCCCGGTCGCGCTGTTCTGATGATGTCAGATGCTGGGAGGAACTGACTGTCCTGATCACTTCCTCCCGGCAACCACCGAGCCGCACGGGAGGAGAAGGAGAGGAGGGAGTCAGAGTGGGACTCACAATCAGCTGGAGTCAGCCACTGGACCCCAGGGAAAGCCACCTTCCTGCACCTAAAAGAGAAACAGGAGAGTGACTAAAACATTTTGCATGTGTGTCTGTATGTGTGTATGTGCCTATGTGTCTATATGTGTGTGTGTGTCTGTATGTGTATGTCTCTATGTTGTGTCTGTATGTATGTGTGTATGAATGTATCTATCTATCTGTGTGTGTGTCTGTATGTATGTGTATGTCTGTGTGTGTGTGTGTGCGTGTGTGTATGTGTGTATGTATGTGTGTGTCTTTGTGTGTGTCTATATGTGTATCTGTTTGACTGCATGTGTATCTGTTTGTCTGCATATGTGTCTATATGTTTATCTGTATGTCAGTGTCTGCCCTATGTATCTGTATGTGTGTCACTGTTTGTATTTGTATGAGTGTCATTCTGTGTATCTGAATGTTTGTCATTAAGTGTCTCTGTGTCTGCATGTGTGTCTGTGTATCTGTATGTGTGTCAGTGTTTGTATCTGAAGGAGTGTAATTTTGTGTATATGAATGTGTGTCATTCTGTGTGCCTGTATATGTCTGTGTACCTGTGTGTTAGTTTGTGTGTCTGCGTTTTGTATGTGTGTCAATGTGTGTTTCTGTGCGTCTGTATATGTATGTGTGTCTGTGTATCAGCATGTGTGTCCATGTATGTATGTGTATGTGTTATATGGTTTGTATCTGCATGTATGTCAGTGTGTGTTTGTCTGTTTATATGCATGTGTGTCTGTGTAACTGTCACCCCAGCACATGCACTGTCACCCCTCTGCACCTTGCCACACTCACAATAACTTCCCAATCATGTCACTCACCCATGCAATACTTACCTCCCTTCGCTCTGCAATATTCACCCTATCAGACTCACCTTCTCTAGCACTGTAACACTCCCCCCCAATCCTGTCACACTGATTCTCCATCACTCTGTCACACTCGCCCCCTTTCACCCTGCCACACTCACCCTATCACATTAACCCATCCAATTCTGTCATACTCACCCCCCACCCCCCAACCATGCCACACTCACCCTGTGGGATGTGAATGAAACACACAAGGGGCTGGGGTGTGTGAATGCGACACATGGATGGGTTGGGGGGAGTGAGGGAGATGTATGGGGGGGAGTCCCAGTGCAATTTGTGCACCAGAGCCCTGTGGTTTCTAGTTACGCCTCTGTATCATCCTATGGCTTTCACTAACATCTGTAGGATGATTATACTAAAATCGACCTGTAATCCCCTGATAATTCTCTGTCTACTAGATCAGTGTTCCCCAACCCAGTCCTCATGGACCACCAACAGTCCAGGTTTTGTCAGTATCTCCATTGGAAAAAAAACAGGAAATGCATAAATCCTGGACTGTTGGTGGTCCCTGAGGACTGGGTTGGGAAACACTGTGCTAGATCATGTCACCAACTGCATATCCTCTGTTTCGGACTGGATAACTTTACAATTCCTAAAACTCAACCACTCCAAGAATAAAGTCCATGTCTTTGCTTCTTTAAAGGAACACTAGTGTGTCGCGGTCCCTAACTATTGTACTTCCCCGCTCCCCCTGGTTGCCGTAATATTAATAGAATAAAGCTTTTTAATCATCTGTTAACAGCATAGAGGAGCATCGAGGAACCTGAAGCATATGAATGACAAGTGCTGTGCAGCATCTAATGCTTCTTATAGGAAAGAATTGAATTAAGTGCTTTCCTATAAGTTGCCGCTTCACATGACCAAGTACCACTCGATGAGTGCAATGGAATCACCTCTAGTTGTTATCAATATGACAGCCACTAGAGTACCGTTTAACCCATCAAGGTAAACATTGCCCTTTCTGCAGAACAGCCTTTTTTTTACCTTGAAGGGCTATAAATACAGGATCACTGCACCAAGACCACTTAAGTGAGATGAAGTGGTTTGGTTGACTTTAGTTTCCAATTAAGGTCAATGGAGCTATCATAACCTACTGCCCGCATAAATGTTGTTTTGCTGTGCTCCGATATTTTCTTCACTTCTTCGCCTAATTGTTTTCTGGCTTGATTACTGTTGACAAGGCCCTGGGGAGTCAGCACAGCTAAACGGACAAGGGCACATGTATGAGTGTGGGGATGGTGCTAGTGATTGGCTATATGTGTTATGGGTTTGTAGTGGGGCAGGGATCATCTTACCTCAGTGCCTTTTGGGATTCTGGCCAGCAAACAACTTCCCACCCACCCACCCTAATTTTCTGTTTTTGTTCCGTCACTGCTAGCGGGGAGCGTGTCCTTGCCAACAGGGTTGGGGAGCAGATGGAATGTCGGGAGATGGACATGGTGGGTCTCAACCTCCCCTGCTCTGTAAGGTAAACTTTTAAGTTACCGAATAGGACGTGCCCACCGAGCAAAAAGCCGGCTGGTGGTAGAGCATTTAAGATGATGGGAATTTTTGGTTTGGACGAGGGGGGAGGCGAGACACCAGTGGGTAAAGTTTTGGTGCTTAGGCACCTGGTTAAGTTTGTTGGCAAGGACGGTTATTTAAGTTGGAGGCTGTAGGGCAATAAGTGTAATTTAAATGTTAATTATTTTATGTATATATATATTTATGTGTTTATTTATATTTGAATTATAGAAAAAGAATAAAGTTCGGATGAGTCCTACAGTTGTAAGTTTAATAAATGCTGTGGCCTGTTTCATCCAATATTCGTTGTTTGTCATTATTGGGGGGAGAATTGGTGTAGTCTCCTTGTCCATGTAGATTGTGAGCTTGTTTCAGCAGGGCGCTCTTCACCTACTGTTCCTGTATGTCATATGTGTGTTGTTAAATTAAATGAAAGTCTTACTTAAGTATTGTACCACAATGCAGAATGTGTAGGCGCAATCTAAAAATATATGCGGATGTATATGTATATATTGGGATCAGTGGGTGCACATATTCATGTATGCCACTGAGTGTTGCTATGTATAAATGAATGTAAGTCACTTAAGTGTATTTATGCATGTATGAGAGTGAATATATTTATATATATATGTATGTATGAAGGTATATAAAAGTGCTCTGTGTACATAATAGGTGCTTAAACAAATATCAGAAATGTCAATCGTATAGCAGCTACCAAACTGATATGGAAATATCTCCTGTCCACCCAAATATAAACACAGTAAGGACGTAAGAAGGTGAAATACACCAAAAATCTCCTAAGTGGAGCACTGATTAAAACACACTTACCCCTAGTAAAGAACTGCAGTAAGAAACAGTCCCGTACTTAACATAGGAGAGAAAAAAATCTAATGGTGTAGTATGTACAATAATCATTGGTAATAAAAAATATAATTAAACAAACTCACAAAAATAGAGCCAAATGTAGCGACTGGCTCAAATCACAAGCACTTTGGTGCGTTTTTCTCTTCTTGGTTCTACTTATTAAACTAAAAATAAATCACAGAAAGAGATATCTAGGGTAGTATTGTAGGAAACAAATGGTGGATAGATCAGTACCATACTGCTCACTTTAGGAAGAGCCAATAAGGAAAACCTGGCTCTAGGTATCAAGGGTGTTAACCCTCTATAAGGGGATAACCCTTATTTACAGGAGGCAAATGAAGTAGGATTAAAAATCTAATTGGATCAATTTATTTATACATATATTTAAAATAAAAACAAAAAACAAAATGTAAATCAATTGAAATATAATCTAGTGTTCAAAAGGCTTCCTGAGATGCTCCAATGTATGCTTGAGTGTAAGCAAGTATGTATTCACTATTTATGTGATACAAATATATTATTATAGTTTAATATTCTAATTTTTGTTTGTGCATAAGGATGGAATTGTAATGCAAAAGAGAAAGTATGCCCTCTTTGAATTATGTGGTTTTACATATCATAACATAATAATCATCTGTTCCTTAGTAGATCTTAAAATTAGGTAAATACAACCTCTAATTAACAACAACACATGACATATTACATATTATTTAACAAAAATAAAGCTAAAATGGAGATGCCATGTGGGAAAAACTACATTATGTTTCAATAGCTTTTAGAACCACCTTTAGCAGCAATAACTTGAAGTAATAGTTGTCTGTATACCTTTATTACTCTCACACCATTGTGGAGGAATTTTGGCCCACTCTTCTTTACAACGTTGCTTCAGTTCATCGAGGTTTGCTGACATTTGTTTACGCACAGATCTTTTAATGTCCCGACATGGCATTTCCATTGGGTTGAGGTCTGGACTCTGACTGGGCCATTACAACACCTTAATTGTGTTCTTTTTCAGCCATTCTACTATAGATTTCCTAGTGTGCATGGAATCATTGTCCTGTTGCATGATCCAATTTCAGCCAAGCTTTAGCTGTTGGACAGATGGTCTCACGTTTGACTCTAGAATACTTTAATATAAATAGCAGTTCATGGTTGACTTAATGATGGCAAGGTTCCCAGGCCTTGTGTCTGCAAGCCAGAGTCTTCACCCCTCCACCCCTGTGCTTGATTGTTGTTGTGAGGTGTTTGTGCTGAAATGCTGTGTTTGGTTTTTGCCAAAAATGGAGCTGTGCATTATGGCCAAACATCTCCACTTTGGTCTCATCTGTCAAAGGCACATTGTTCCAGAAATCCTGTGGTTTGTTCAGATGCAACTTTGCAAATCTAAGCCATGCTGCCATGTTCTTTTTATAGATTATAGGTTTTAACGGTTCTCCTGGCAAACCTTCTAAACTAACCATACTTATTCAGTCTTTTTCTAATTGTACTGTCATGAACTGTAACATTTAACATGCTAAATGAGGCCTGTAGACTCTGAGATGTAACTCTTGGGGTTTTTTTTACATTTCTTTGAGCACTGCATGGTCTGACCGACCTTAGGTTGAATTTGCTGGGACATCCATTCCTGGGAAGACCACCAGTTGTCTTGAATGTTTTCCACTTTTAATAATCTTTCTCACTGTAGAATGGTGGCCTTTAAATTGTTTGGAAATGGCCTTATAACCCTTCTCAGTTTGATGGGCAGCAACATTTGCTTCTCTAAGCTCATTGATGATGTTTTTCCTCCTTGGCATTATGTTACCACACACTTGAATGCTTCAGACCAGAAATCTACTCAAACATTCAGCTGTATTGGTCTGATACTTAGCCTTTTAGTTCCTATGGAATCAGTAAGGGTGTACTTAGTTTTTAACACATGGCTTCTTCATTTGGCTTTATTTTTGTTAAATAAATCATGACACAGTGTAATAATATTGTTCATCTTAGAATGTATGTACCTAATTTTAAGACCTGCTAAGGAACAGATGATAGTTATAATGTACTGATACGTAAAACCATAGATTTCAAAGAGGGTTTATTTTCTTTTCCACATGACTTTATATGTTAATGAGATGCTGCTGAAATTACAATTTTCCCACTTCTAGGATATTCAAAGTTATTTACTAAAGAGAGAACTCCAATTTTGATGCCGGAGTATCTGAACTGAAAGCACAGAGAGTTTTTCCATTTCGACTAGTTTGATTAATTTAGCTAATTTGAAATGCACTTTGAATTCTCCCTTTAGTGAATAACCCTGATGGTGACAAGAAAAGGCAATATCTGTCAAAGCATCATGGGAACTGCAGATCTACAACAGCTGTGGATCTACCCTTTAGCTATCCTGTTCTCTATACTTATTGTTCTCTTTGGATGCCATATAAAAAGCACCTATGGCAAGGCCGGAAGCTGCAACACACTCACTTAAATAACCATTCATGGGGGGGTGGGGCCTGCCCGCCATGCTGACCGGTCGCATGCGGGAGAGGCTCCTGCAGAAATTGGCCTTTTTGACCGATAATCTAGGTTCACAGCCTTAATTCGAGCCGGAGGGGAAAAACACTGTGCTCGAGCTGACGTTGGTACAAGAGATCCGGAGTTTTGGGGCCCCACTGGCTGGACAAGGCTTTGGAGCTTGCGGCCTTCTTCGTAAAGAAATGGGACGGACAGCCGCCACCCTGCTCACTTACCTGGCTGCCACACGTCTGCTCTGTGACACATCTCACAGGCCCCTTCCCCACCCCCCCTTTTGGACCAGGGGGGGTTATCCCGGTCTTCACTGGAGGATACCTAAGCGGTCTTCAATGATGCCTGCAAGGCATACCACAATGCCCCAAATATAAAATGGCCCCGCACTGATTCGCCACCAGGCGGCACCAGAGAAACCCCTCACTGAAAAAAAAAAGGGGGGACTGAGTAAACTCCTGGCCCCAGTAACACCTGTAACCAGCTACCTGGTTTTACCTACCCGAGCCTCGAGCCAGGTGACATGGCACCCCACATGGTAGCGCTACACCCTGGAAAGAGGTCCACAGGCACCGGGCCATCACCGGCTTAAACCATGGTCTTAATTTGCTGCTCTTCTACCAAGCTGGGAACGCATGAGACACACATCCAACTCTTGGTCCTCAGGGCCGGGCTCCAGCCGACCACCCACTACTCCACTCCGAGCTCAAGACTGGGAGAGGCGAACAACGCAGCCATACATGAAGCAGGAAGAGATGGCACAACATGATCAGCATGGAGCATGGGGGAACCGCTTTATGGCACATTACCCTGTCTACCAAATTACCCTGTCTACTCAAATACCTACTCTATCTTGTGTCTTGTGCCCAGTGGACATACTGACAAGCTCTCATATGCAGGCTCTGGTTGTATTTAAAGTTAAATTTATGTTCAGCTGGCTAGCCCTTCTTATTGTTGTTCTCTCTACACTGCCGATCTAAGTTATCTACCTTATGCAGAGATCTTTCCCTTATACATCACTTTCAGTGGTTTACTTACTGCGAGGAGTTTAGGATGCAGGGAGTTCAATCCTGTTCTCTTAATTTTTTCTCTTAATTGTATCTATAAGTGTGTGGTACCCAATGGAATATCAGCCTGTCACAGTTTATTAGCATGTCAACAATTAATACTTACTCGCATCTCCATGTCTGAGTAGCTAAATAAGTCATAAAACTAACTGTACACATTTCTAGTTAAATATCTTATGCTAGCTTATATTTGACCTTCTCACTTCTCGTAGTTAGACATGACTGAGTAGCCTGATCGTACGTTCATTAAAAAATGTGCAGATACTCTACTTGACATGTCACAGTATTGTGACGTTTGCAACTCTGATGCTTGTCTGAACTGTCATGGTCATTCAAGCTTATATGTAATTCTATGCACAATAAAAATAAAAACTTTAATAAATTAATAAATAAATAACCATTCTTAATAAAGTGGAAATTTAAGTTTCAATTACATACAAATATGTGGTAGTGTATTACATTACAGACAGGGCTGGTGAATTATGGCTGAACCCAATACTGTACTAAGTAACACCACTCAGCGCTGCATTTGCCTTGGGTAGCACTTTCCAGGTGGCGGCAAAAAACGCTGTGTTTGGTTTTTGCTCAGACAATGCCTTGGGGCAGGCATGTATTTGAGCAACAGGTGGGCGGCGAGGGATCGCTGATTTGTGAGCTCTCCCTGCTCAGCTACCTTGTATTCCACAGACTGATGCCGTCAGCCGAAATCTGATGTCAAATTCCAGCTCCCTGCATCACTTTGCGGCGCGGAGAGCTCACAAATCAGCGCTCCCTCACCGCCCGCCTGGACCTCAACTGGTCACATGCCTGCCTGCACGCCTGCCTAAACAGCCCTGCCAGCAGCCCCACTTGACCCCAGGTAAAAAATCCACCCAGCTCTTCCAAATGTAGGGAGGCTGGGAGAATTTAAATTAGAATAAAAAAATAATCTGAGTGTTGGGGGATGTATGTGTGTGTGTGTGTGTATATATGTCAGAGTGTGTGTGTGTTTGTGTCTGTCAGTGAATGTAGGAATGAGTGAGTGTGTGTGTGTGTCTGTCAGTGAGTCTGTGTGTGTATATCTGTCAGTGTGTGCCTGTGAGTATGTGTGTCTGTCAGTGAATGTGTGAGTGAATGAGTGTGTGTCTGTCAGTGTTTCTGTCTGTCAGTGAGTCTGTGTGTAAATATCTGTCAGTGTGTGTCTCTGAGTGTGTGTGTCTGTCAGTGAATGTGTGTCTGCGAGTGTGTGTCTGTCAGTGAATGTGTGTGTCTGTGAGTGAGTGTGTTATGAGTGAGTAAGTTTATGTATGTCAGTGTGTGTCTGAGTGATTGTCTGTGTCTGTCAGTGTGTGTCTGTGAGTGAGTGTGTGTGTGTGTGTGTGTATGTCTGTCAGTGTGTTTCTGTGAGGGAGCTTGTGTGTCTGTCAGTGTGTGTGTGTGTGTTTGTGTGTGTCTGTCAGTGTGTATCTGTGAGTGAGTGTGTGTGTGTGTGTGTGTCTGTCAGTGTGTGTCTGTCAGTGTGTGTGTGTGTGTGTGTCAGTGAATGTGTGTGTGTATGTGTGTATGTCTGAGTGATTGTGTATGCCTCTCAGTGTTTGTGTGTCTGTCAATGGGTGGATGTGTGTGTCTGCGCTCTGAGCCATCAAAACGGTTTAATCAAATACTTCTGTTTTGGATACAAATGTTATACTTAGAAGATTATCTACTAAGGTGAGAATTAAAAACGAATTTCAAATTTACTGGAGGCATTGCTGAACGAATGGGAATTTTTCCTGTTTGGATATTTTCACCTTGAATTTGAAATTCACTTCGCATTTTCACTTTAGTGAATTGACCTGTTAATGGGGCTTATTCTCTGAACACAGTGTACGATTTAACGGGTGACTTTAAAATCAGGAGCCAATATCCTATATCTGCTGCCCTCCAGTTGCTGTTTAGTGAATAAACTCCTATATGAATGAAGTACTGAAACACTGTAACCATCAAACTATCGTGTTACAAAGAGTATAGGAAAATTAAGGTGGCAATATGGTTTGTCACTGGGTCATGTGACCACACCCTTTATATATGTGTGACTTTCAAACATGAAGATTTAACATTGCATCAGTGTTGCATCAGACTGTGCAGACTGCAGATGCTCCATATGGAAAGAGCAGGAAGGCTAGTCATATGACATTGGAACATGAGTGTGAAGGGGGAGAGACCAGATTAGGGTCGATATACAATTTTTTAAATACAAGCATGCTAAAATTCACGTACGGAGTAAAGGAGTGACAGCACAGGGGAGGGGATAGCTGGGGGGACTACATGGGAAAGGAGACTAACAGTGGAGAGGAGAGAAATTTATATAGTTTATTATTCCGAGTGTGTGTGTGTGTGTGTGTGTGTGTGTGTATATATATTTATATAAACAGTTCTTAAAGAGAGATATGTAGTATCCTTATTTACAGTGTATATAATTAAAGATGAATGTAGATGTATAATATATCATAGACCTGTAACACAAGTGTAAAGCTGGTATATTTACCTGGGAGTTGGAAGCAGCAAGATGTTTGGTGAGGGCAGAGGCAATGAGTTTGGCATCTCCAGCATACACAAGAGGCTGATATAACTCAGTGACACAGCCACCCGTGACCGCATGGCAAGAGTTTAAACTGGCACAGGCGGTCAGGACTGACAAGCACCAGAAGGTAAAGACTGCGTCAGGGATTACTGGCAGGAGTCAGCAGCTTGTTCAAGGGTACATCAAAATAATAAGATGCAGTCAACAGTAGCCAAGGAGAGCAGATTGACGCACTAAAAAAAAAGAAAAAAAAGTTTTCAATTTCTATATACACACACACACACACACACACATATTATATATGTATTTTGCTTAGTTACTCTGCATTGAAAGAGTTAAGCTGGGCACATAAATGTCCAGTTCATATATTTCAAAGATGCGGCCGTGTTAGTAGCCCTTGTTAGCATTACCATTCACTTGTGCAGGTCTATCAGGAGATGTGATACAAAAATGGTAAAGGCCCACAGAAAGCTCCCCATTTATTGTGTAACTACAACTCACACAATATATTACCAGGCATAGGACATGTTATTCCACATTAGATGGATATCTGCTTGGTTGCCATAAGACAATTGTTTAATTGTCTTACATACATCTATGATAATACAGCAGATGCAGTTCTCCAACAATTTAACTCTGTGTTAACCTGTGCCATCTCTCCTCCTTAACACTGCTAGCATCTGTCACCATCATTCTGCCATATATCTTGCTCTTTATTTAAAATACCACCCTCAGCTCTCATTTTTGTGTCAATATCTGTAGTCTTCAATTGTAAAGTTACCCATTTTAACTTAAAGCAGGAAGATGTATGGTAACATTTCAGCTAGCAAATACGCCAGGAGAGCTACTCACATATGGTCCTCTAGCTGTGCTACAACTCCCATAATCCTCAACTAGCCTCAGAAGTGGTTATTTGGTGGGCCTCATTTGAACTTTATTTTTTAAAAGGAGATGCCATTTCATCACTGTTTGTTACCATCAAAATAAAATAATCACTATTTTAAATTACGTGTCATTAAATTTTCATATGAAGTGCAATTCATTAGTTAAACATGTTTTCCTTTTAATGGTTTGAGAAAAACAAGTGAATGAAGAAATGCAAGAACAGAGGACAAAAGTCAATCTCTATTAATTAATAATCTTAATAGCTCCCCAGCAAGGCCCACTACATGTAAACGCAACCCCCCTTCCCCCCCCCAAAAAAAATGAATGCCAGGGTCTCACCTGCTGCCCACAGGATTCTAAACAGCGATTCTTTAGCAGAGCTCTGATTACTTTGCAAAGTATCCTTGACACTGTTTCTTAAGCAGGAGAATCTCTGTAACTTTGTTCACTCTGCAGACTGTTATTTGAAGCGCTGATTTTCCATAGAAGTTTTTTTTCTGTCTCAGAGACTTGCAGGCATGAAGCTTGTCCTGAGGATTCTAATACTAAACCGGACAGGTAAAGGTTCCTGTCACTGAAAATTGGGTGGAGTTTTGTGAAAAAGGGTGGGGGACTAAGCAAATGTCATCTGTGACATTACAATGATGGCCACTCTCAATTACAAGAATTGTAAGAAATTATATGGCACTATTTTGGCTAATTCTTTGCTTAATTATATCATTGGTAATAAAACCCAACAAACTTGTAATCACATGTAAAGCACTGCAGAATATGATGGCACATATTAAGAAGAAAGTTTAAAAAAAAGAAATTATATATATATTGTACTGAAACAAATTTAGTGATGTCTCATGAGCACCACAAAAGTTTCTTCGGTCCTCGTACATGCACAGTAGGACTTGTATAGGCTAGTAGCATACTGCATAGTTGTGTGTAGCAGTGTAATCTTTGCAAATAGTAATCCTCCTATACAGAATCAGGGCTTGATTTCCTGGAAGGCAGACTAGATACTTAGATTGCACCTTTGTACAGAGATAGTGCAAAAAGCAAATAATGTTCTTTAGTAATACCTATGTCAGCTCTTGTTATAGCTGTGCTCCCTTTGCCCATATCCTGTATATATTTGCATATGGTTTGCCTACTTCCAGTTATACTTACCCTAACTTTATATCTGTAATTATTTGAGGACATGATTTCTGCTTTTTTTTTTTTTTTAATCACTCTAAAAACCCGGCACCCTGATTATATAGTGCTATGGATGTTATCACGAGCAGCTTCTCTCATCCTATGGGATAAGTGTTATTGTGGGGAGGGGGTGGGGGGGGGTGTCTGAATTATATAATCTGTAATCCCTTTTGGGCAGGAGTTAAAAGGAACAGTCCAAGCACCATAACACTATACTTGCTGTAGTTGGTTGCGGTGTCAGGATTACCTTGGTGCCCCCCATCCAATGTTTTTAAATGTTTTGACTTTTTACCTGCGGTTTGCCAGGCACCACTCCCTGCCGCTACTGCAGCCTTCAAAGACTTGTCATGCACAAAAATGTCATCACTTCACACAGTACAAGGTTTAATCTACACAGAGTTTGCCAATCTGTGGATGTGCGCATTTGCTTGCTTCAACTGTGGCAGCCATCTAGAAAACAGGAAAGAAAAATTCAAATATGTTTATATGCTTGTATATGTGTATATTATACAATATATATTTTTGACATTTGTCTACCTGGAGCTGACCATGTCATTGACACACAGTAATCTTTACTAGCTGGGACACCCCATGTCTACATTTTTTACACTATTGTACATAGCACCCCATCTCAAATGGAGAATTAAAGGGAATTTGTAGGCACTGTAGTTGCTTCATCTCATTAAAGTTATTATAGTGTTTGAGTCCCCTGGTTCCGTCCTTCCAACTTCATTCAAATAAAGTGGTTATGGTGTCCCTGGGGTTAAACCAATAACAAACAGCTTAACTCCAAAGTTGACTCTCCACAGCACCGTTCCTTGCTGTTCACATTGACAACTGGTGTCTGAAATTGGGCTAGAGGAAAGGCAGATTGACGCCGGCTAGAGTCATCGCTGAATGGCATAAAGTGGACAGCTATAAGTCAATCAGTAGCTCCCCATTCATAAAAAAATGTATTGCTGGAAGGTATTGGTATGGCTAGAAGGAAGTCTATAATCTCTGCCTTAGCCAAACCTCCAGCAGGGGCAACACTGCAAACTGCTTGAAAATAGCTTAACACAGATTGGAAGGAACCAGTTACGCGAGATGAAGTAGTTATAGTGCCGAGAGTAAGTAGTAAGGTTCCAGCATTCTGCACATTTTGGTCCTTGTATAGGTTGCCCACTCCTCTCCTTTAAAGGGTTACTCGGACCACCATGACCACTGCTGCTTTTAGAAGTGATTATGTTGGTAAGAGTCTGTGTGTGTAGCTAGTTTAATCTAAATTTTGAAGTTTGATTTTCAGCTCCTAACAAATCAGTGTTTTAAAAAATAAACCCCTCTGTATGTCATGTTTGATAATTGACAATAAATGATGTGACATGACTTCTTTGTAGGCTTCCTAAAGTCATTTGAAAGGTTGTTCCAATGAAGAATGAACAAAGTTCCAATTTTGGGGGGGGAGTTTCTAAATGAATGCTTTTACATTTTTTATTTAATCAAATATATAAAAATATTAGAAATCATATAAACTTGTTACTTTACCGCAGTAAATCATAAATTTTAATTATACTTGCTGAAAGAAATTTAGCAGGCGTCAATGAACACAAGCCATTAATCATAAAGGGACACATTTAGCACCATAACCACTACGTCACACTGTAGTGGTTATGGTGCCAGGAGTGCTCAGGTACTTTATACACTTGCTACATTTCCAGTTACTATCCTGTCTGCTTAACATACTCTTTATCTAGGATGAATGATGATATTGCAAGAAACACTTTACAGTTTCTTAAACAAACCATGAACTTTGGTGAATTAACAACCAAATGCAAAAGTCAAGCTAAAAAATAGTTAGAAAGAACAGATGAGCTGGAAAACATTATTAACAAATAATCAACTGAGCTGTAGATTTTTGCAACATGCGTATTTTAGCCTAGCCATTTAGTAAATAAACAGCTCGTAAAAGCCTACACTAAATTATAGAATACAAATAAAGAGGGTAGGCAAAGTGAGGCTGGAGTGAGGGTAGGGAGGTTGTAAGTAAAATGCATGAATTCATTTACACACTGCACTCCATTAAAATAGCTGCTTTTCCTTTGTCTGCTAGTGAATAATGACCTAAAAGAGATCATTTATCACTCTTAACAAGAAATGTTATCACGGAAGAGATTACCAGGACTATTTACTAAAGCAAAGTATGTGTTTGCATGTTCAAAGGAACATTAGCATGAAAACATATATCCTTAGATAACCTGTCTTACACTGCATACCATAGGCATTGGTACTGCATAAACGGTCTATAGAATTCATTTACCATGACATCACAAGATTTATATTTTGATAACGTATTCAACTTGCACAACCTTATTTGGCAGCCATACCAATGTCCTTACAGTCCTTATGGACCCCAAACAAATCTGATAATTTACCTTACTCCAGCATGTAGGATATGGAAAATCCAGTTCTGAAACAAATAAATTATCAATAATCTTGACACAAGGTTAAGGTTTTTGAAACTGTTCCTTTTTACATTTCCTCAATGCATATATTTCTATTTGTAACTAAACACGTATCAAGATGAGATGGCAACCAGTTAATTACAGAAGTCAGAATATGAAATTAATAAGACAAAACAAAAAGCAAAAAAAGTTTTAAAAAAATTTCCAACTCCACTTTCATATTGAACACACAAAAACTTAAATTCACTGCTCCTCCATATGACCAATTCTTTACATTATTTTTTGGTTCGTTTGCAGTTGTTTTTTGCTTTTGTCTTTGTTTGTTTGTTTTATTTGGTTTGTTTGCTTACTTCATTCATTTATGTTGAGCAGTAACTTAACAAAAGTATCCAAGATTGACACTGACTTGGGACATCACATGCAAAGGTCCCAGACTAGGGGCCGGAGTGAGTCATAAATAATTTTATACACGTTTACTCATTTATCAGCACTATATATTTGTTTTTAAAATTCCAAAATTGACCAAACATTCTATTAAATCTCTTTATCTGGTACTGCATGCACTC